TATTCTTCAAAGGGGAAATAGATTTACTAGTAGTCTCTTTTTCCAGAGTACATGCTGCGTCATCTGGTAACTCTGTTATTCTTTCATCTTGTAGCTGTTCTTGAGGGAAAATCAAGTGCCGCATAGTTTACTCCCGCTTCTTCACCCTCCTGCAAATTAGTAAGAGCAAACTGTAATTGAACAACCAATTTCAAGCCTGGTTACGATTTACATTATACGGTTAAAAACACACAGAACATAGTCACAGTTAACTGCAAATACCTCACAAACTCTGCTTCCTGTAAGAATAACCATATAAATTAATAACCATAACCAAAGTACTTTTTTAGTGTTAAATTTTTAAAAAAAAAAAAGGAAAATGAAAAAAAACAAAGAGTTTAGTTGAAAATTGAACATTAACGAGTGTCTCTCTGTGTCAAAGTTCAATTCTTGTTGACTCATCAGTCCAATCCAGCCCCCTCTCTTACAGCTTTTGTTGGGATGCCAGTGGTGATCGATGACTACACTGTAATTTTACACTTCAGCTTCAGATTCATTTGACATTTTTCATGTATTTCACATGACAAAAGTGTTTTTCTTAAAGAGAATTTTAAGCTTTCTGGTTCTGTGTTTGTCTGAAAATCTAATATTTTATATACCACATTATTCAGCTGATCCACAGTCGATCTCTCCTGTTGACTGACTGGAGATTGATTGGCTGTAACTTTTCCTGTTAATAAAAAGAAGACATTACCATTGGCAGAAGACCTAAAAAGGAGATGTTAACAGTGTTACAAATATATGCTATTTGATGTAAATGTTTCCCAGGTCAGAACCAAGAATCAAATCATCGAGACTAAATTAATACTGCACAGGGACTCAGTTAGCTGTCATAGCTTCAGTTCTTTTTACTATAAATATTATGATGGATGCATTCATTTCATAGTTTAGTCTACTCTAGCTGTCACCAGAAGATTCATACTCTGAACATCCTGTTCTTTTACATCAAGAAATAAAATCTGTCTACCACAATGGCTGCATTCGTCTATGGAGTCACTGTCATGGTCATAAAACGAAACGTGATACGACTCCTGCTTCGCTTTCTGTATCTGTGACTCATCCAGGAAGTGGGCTTCTCAGGTTTGGTGTTTGAAAATGCACAAGACAGATTTGATAGATCTCTAGTGTTTATGTCTAATTCTGACTGAAATCTATCACATCATGCATTATTAGTGAGGATTTCCCCAATGTCACCTCAAACTTTTGTCATTGCTATAAAAGGCTCAGCAGAAGCTCTTCTGTTTACGTGCTCTATGGGAAGTTGGGACATAGTTCATTTCTGACATTCATAATTCATAAAAAACTATGGTGGTGAAAATACAAACATGTTTGGGGTATACTGCCGAGAAAACTTGAACTAATAAATGGTAAATGGCCTGTATTTGTACAGCGCTTTACTAGTCCCTAAGGACCCCAAAGCGCTTTACATATCCAGTCATCCACGCAT